ACCACCCCGTACACAAGGTTGCAATTTTGCGACACTGAAGCGCGGAAGCCTCAGCGCAAACACTGCCGTGCAAGCGAGGCGTCGGGGCACCACTCTCTGGGCGAACGCTCCGTCAGGAGGCGCTGCCTACGGGCTGCTAGCGCAAGCGACATCACTGATCGCGGCGCTATGATAGAGGATGAACATCCTGCGGGGCGCAAGCGCGAAAGACCTCACTGCCCGCCGCGCTCTGTCTCAGGGATGCACTCGGCGGGGATCGGCTTGTCGGGGATAGCTCGCGGCGGCGTTAGCGGCTGCGCCAGGATCGGATCAATCTGCGCGCCCTCGAACATCTGAACGAATCCGTTGGCCTTCGGCCTGATCCTGAGCTGGAGCGCGTCCAAGTACTCGCGCGTCCTCTGAGGGTTCCAGCCTTGACGGATCAGAATGTCGCCGAGGTCAAGTTTCTTCTGGGCGACCTGCTCGTCGTATTGCGTCTTGCCCTTCGCCGCCTGCATCCTGAGCGTCTTGGCGGCGATCTCCATAGCGTCGGCCGCATGGTTCATCGCCTTGTCCCTCGCCCTCAACTGCGCCCGTGCAGCGGACAGCTTTTGCTTCAAGTCGGCGTTGCGCGTCTGGAGCTGCTCGGCACGTGGCCCTCCCCCCGCCATCGGCTTCGCCGCGGCCTTGGGGTTGGCCCTGGGCTTCGGGGCTGCCCTGGGCTTGGGCGCGCCTCGGCCGCGAGGCCGCTTCGGCGGCATGGCTGCGATGTATAGAGCGTGAAAACGTGAATCCGCAGAGCGAAACGAAAAGCTACAACTGCTTGAGCCGAAATCGCTACGGATGAATGCGGGCGCGTCCAATGGCAAGGACGGCGTCTCTCCGCACCCCGCGCCGCCGATCCACTCCCGCCGCATGCCGCCTCCTACTTCCAGAGAGCGCTGGGCGGGGGGGAGGTCAATCACTCCAGATCATCGGCGCGACGCGCCTGGCGCAGAGCCCCCCCCCGACGATGGCAGGGCGCCTCCGAATCGTCTCTGGCATAGCTGGCAACGGCGCGCCAGGCGCCGAAAGTCACGTCAGCAGCCCAGGGTTCGAACAAGCAGGGGCCCTCAATGATGCCCGACGATTCCCTTCGGAGGCCCCCTCGCCCTCCACTGGCCCCGCCCTGGACCTGAACCCCCTGACCCCTGGACACGCCGAACCGCCCCAGGTAGCCAGGAAGATCCCGAGAGACGCCAAGGAGTCCGACCGAATATCCCCCCGCCGCCCATACCTCGGCTGCCCCTGGCCCCCGACGCCCCCAATCAGCCCCATGTAACTTCCATCAGACCCCCCCCCCCCCCCCCCCCCCCCCAAAGGCACGCGATCACCCCTGAGGGCGGCATCGCCATTCTCCCGATGCTGAGAGAGGGGGGGGGGCCCAGACGGCGGTGGGAGGGCGGGAAGGTGGCGGGTCGGGGGGGCGGGGGAAGGCGGGGGCGGGGCGGGGTAGGGGGGCGGAGGACGTAAAGACGTGGTGGGTTGGGTGGGGGGGTGGAGAAGCGGAAGGTGCGCGGGCGGGAGGGCGGCGGGGTGGCGGGCGGGTGGCGGGGTGGCGAGGCGGAGGGCGTAAAGACCCCCAAGATAAATTGGAAACGGCGGCGGGGGGGGCGGGGGGGCGGAGGGGGGGGTGGGCGAAGGGAGAGAGGGGGACGAGGGCGGCACGATTGGCGTCGCCTGGCCGCCTGCCCATGCGAGGGAGGCGCCGCGAGGCAGATGCGGGCGGGAAAACCTGCGAGACGCCCCTCCAGAACAGAGCACCTAAATCTTTCCATCCGAGACCCTGTGCCCATCCCCGCCCTGTCGGGTTCGCGGCTGCGGTCGCATCCTGAAATGCTGGCGGTGCCGCTCTTGCAACTCGCCCAGCATCGCCTCGTCCTCCACGAAGCAGGCGCCCGCGAGGTGCTGGGGCGGCCCCTGAGGCGGCGCGGGGGGGAGGTGAACCAGGGCCCCCAGGGTCAGGATGCCAGGGCCCGCGGGGAGCTGACGTAACTGGTTGTGGGTTGTGGCGGAGGGGCTCCCGCTCGAGCGGGGGCGGCGGGGACCCCCGAAATCCCCCCCCCGGAACCGGTCCCGGCAGCGCGATTCCAGGCCCCCGAGGGTCGGATGTCACGGCCGCGGGGGGGGGGCGCCTTCCATCCCCCCGCGAGCCTGCGACCGAGGCGCTCCCACGCGCCCCCAGGCGCTCCCGGGCGATCCCAGGCGCACCCAAGCGTTCTCAAGCGCTCCCAGGCGCTCCTAAGCGCTCCCAGGCGCTCTCAAGCGCTGCCAAGCGCTCCGAAGCGCCCCCATGCTTGCGAGCGCCTGGGAGCACTTGGCAGTTGCGAGGGGGCGCCGAGAGCCCTGTTTCACAAGCCCTGGGGAGGCAGAGGTGGCCCGAAAACGCCAACAGGGCCGCCGCACTTCCAGGGTGCCCAGACCGATCACACGAAGTTTCAGTCAGCGCCTGGGAGGCCCCGCGGGAACCCCATGAACAACGGAACCAGGGACTGGATCAGGCGGGAGGGCTGAAGAGGAGGACCAGGAGGAGGGAGCGGATGGGATGCGCGGGGATCGGAGGAACTGGCGGGATATGAAAGGGCGGGGTGGGGCGGGTGCGAGAGGGGGAGAGAGAGAGAGAGAGAGAGAGAGAGAGAGAGAGAGAGAGAGAGAGAGAGAGAGAGAGAGAGAGAGAGAGAGAGAGAGAGAGAGAGAGAGAGAGAGAGAGAGAGAGAGAGAGAGAGAGAGAGAGAGAGAGAGAGAGAGAGAAGAGAGAGAGAGAGAGAGAGAGAGAGAGAGAGAGGAGAGAGGAGAGAGAGAGAGAGAGAGAGAGAGAGAAAAAAAAAGAAAGATATATGCAGAGATATAGAGAGAGGGAGAGTCCGCAGAGAGAGAAGAGAGAGAGAGAGAGAGAGAGAGAGAGAGAGAGAGAGAGAGAGAGAGAGAGAGGGAGAGAGGGAGATCATGAAGGCGAGACGATGGATGAGGGGGTGGAGGAAGAAGGACTTAGCTGAATGAGCTCCTCTGACTACGCGGGCACTCGTGAGCTGGCGGGGCGCGGCCTTACTGACCCCACGAAGCGGGTCGAGATCAATCGGGGCCATGTCACAACATGTGTCTGGCCGCCGTTGGGCTTTCGTGGTGGTCTTTACAAGGCTCGACAGGCCCCATGACACAAGTGCAGGACATGAGATATTACTGGAGGTGCCCTGCTCCCCCTCTTGCTCCTCGCCGCCTCCCACTCGTCATCCACCTTGGAATAGGGGGAGGGGGATGGGGGGGCGGAGGAGGAGGATGGGGAGGTAAGGAGGGGGGGGCATGGCGCAGGAGGAGGAGGAGGGAGATGGCAGGGAGGGGGAGGGAGAGAGGGGGAAGAGTAGGCGGAGAAGGAGGAGAAGTAAGAGGATGATAGTGAGGAACAGGATGGTATGGGGACGAGGGAGGAGGGAAAAGGGAAGAGACGGCGGACGGGCGGGGGGGGGAAATGCATGTCCAGTCCCAGGGGAGGCGGTGGGAACATCAAACAATGCACGCGCAGGGGGATGTGCGAACCAGCACGTACACGTGCCCCGATGGAGGTGGGCGGTAAAACAAATCGAAATCAATTCCTACGGGGGCTGGTCGGGCCATCGCATGCACCCCATTCCCACGGGCCCTCTCGGGGCCCCCATCGGGGCTTCGCGGGCCCCGAGAGGCCCCAAAGCTGGGGCCCAAGAGGGCACCATGAGATCTCCAGGAAGGCCCCAAGAGGGCTGCAAGAGATGCCAAAAGGGAAGTCACGAAGAGGGCCCCCATCGGGTCAACCCCATTTGGCATCTTTTGGAACCCTCTGGGGGCCCTCTCGGCACCCCCCGGGAGCTTCGCGGGCTCAAAGAGGGCCCCGAGTGGGCACCAGGGAGCCTCTAAGCGCCCCCCCGTCCCCAAATCACGAAACATGCTCAGGATGACTTCCGGCTGAGAGCCCCACTTGCGTTTTTTTGAGCGCGTGTGTTCGGGCCCTCTTGGGGTCATCTTGGAAGCATCTTGGAAACGCATTGGGACCCCGATCGGGCGCCAGGAGGGCGCCAAGAATGACGCAGGAAGGCCCCAAGAAGGCTCCAATACATGCCAAATGGGGCTGTCACGAAGGGAGCCCTCCTCGTGACAACCCCAGTCGGCCTCTCTTGGAGCCCTCCAGGGGCCGTCGCGGAGCCCTTCTGGGGCTTCGCGGGCGCCAAGAGGACCCCAAGAGGGCCTCGCATCGGGCTCGAGGAAGGCCCCACCGAAGGCCCCAGAGAAGCCAACAGGGGTTGTCACGAAGAGGCCCCTTTTCGTGACAACCCCATTTAGCCTCTCTTGGAGCCCTAAGCCCTCTCGGGGCCCTCCTGGCGATTCGTGGCCCCCAAGACGCCGCTGTCGCCGTCGCCGTTCCAACGCCGCGCGGGGACTGTCCAAACTAAGTCCTGCGGTGCCAACATCGCGCAGACCCCCGTGCGCTGGTTCATGGCCACGCTCATGCACAGACCCAAGTCGGTGCCCAGCTTCGTGGCGCCTGGCCCCGAGAGCGAGATGCAGGTGGCGCCCTGCGCAAGGCGGGGGAGGCGGGGTGGGAGCTAGAAGCGACGAAGCGGACGGCAACGCTACGAACTTGAGAAGGCGGACGATCCACCGCCCATCGGCTCAACTCGCCCGAAATGCCCCAAACCACCCGCCGCTGTCTGCTACTCACCTCAATCCCCCACCCACGCCCTCTCCTACGTTCGCTCCCGCCACTGCCCGCTCAACTGCTCACCGCCAGATCGTCAGCCGCCCGCTTCCGCGCCCCCTTCCGATCGTAACGCGCGCCCCTGCTTTGCCCTGCCCCGCTGCCAATCGCATCTATCGCAGCGCACATCGCAACGCCCGCCCACCCCGCCGTTCTTGGCGTGGCGGCGAAGCCGCGAGGACGGTTGCGCCGTTCGCTGGCTCGTGCCGACCCAGCCCGCTGGAAACAAACCCCGAAAGTGCAGAACATTCGGGGCCTCGAATGCCGTCTGCGTGGCCGCAACGTGCTGGCACAACCTGCGCTGCGTCAGTCTGTAGTTCGACGCGCCGTAGATCAACATCCTAGGCTGGGCGACAGGAAGCGGCGACTCGACGGCGACCAGGTCGGACCCGCGGATGGGGAACCCGACGATGAGCTCCGCCTCGATGTGACGCGTCACAGTGAACATCACCTGGCTGGCGCGACAGGCAGGTAAAAAAGGCAACAAGGGCGGGTGCGATTTCCAAATAGCGAGCCCAGACCGCCGCGAACGAACCTGCGCCCGAACCTCCACCTCCGCGCCCATCCTGCCCCCCGCCTCCCCCGCGCCACACCCGACCACCACGAAACCAGAAATAAGGACGGTCACGGCCCGTCGGCTGTGGCCCTGCCCGAAGGGGGTGGGTAGAACGGGCTAGGTGTGGCGATGGTTGACAAGGGCAGTGGCTGGGAGGGGCTAGGCCGACGGACAGCCCGCAGACGGGCGCCATTCGGGGCGGCGCACAAGCGCGGACGGAGGAGGGCGATCCGCGGCGAGTAAATCACAGCGGGCGAACCGCGCTGCACAACTCGCGCGCCACCTGTCAGAGCACCACCCCCAACGCACGCCTCCTTGCGACCAGCGCTGTGCGCCCACTCTTCCATCCACCCGCCTTCAATCGCTACTGGCACCCACGAAAATGATATTTCATGGCCCCTCACCGCCGCGCCCCCATTGACTTGCCGACACGTTCCCCGCACTCCATAACACTACCCCACTATAGCTACACCGAAGCTCGCCTATCACACCCCCCCCCCCCCCCACCCCGCCCTCAACATCACACGCGCCCCCCATCAACGCTCCACGTTGCGCCACGGCGCTGCAACGCGCACGCGCGCCGCGCGAACAAATGCGCGCACGCACGTAACATGTAATGAAAGCCCCACGCGGTACCACATGCACGCATGCTCTCCCCCTCACGTGCATCGCCATCTTCCTCCTCCACGGGCCCCAGCCCCGTACCCATCATCGCAGACCCCCCGCCCCGCATCACCCACAACTCACTCCCCTTGCCTGCGCCCTCCTCGACATCCGACAGATCGCGTCGCTGTCGGCGCCCTGGCGCGGCCCGATGAAACCCCGCCACTGGGCGCGCGTGCGCCCGTCGGACTGACCCTTCGAAATGGGAGCGGGTGGGGGTGCGTGAAATGCTGGCAAGGGGGTGACATTGGGCCCCCGCTGGTGCGCCCGACGGCGAAGCGAATCGGCGACCGATCGGCGACTGACGACCTAACGCGCGCGAGGTCGCCTGGCCACATATGGAACGAAGCAGACCAGAGCGGTCTTGGCAAGCGGCGTTGTGCAGGCTTACCAGTAAATCCTCCAGACAAGCTGTGGGGAGCTCGGCAAGTCGCGCCATCTGGCTGGCCAAGAAGTTGCACGCAGGGACGAGGTCAGCAGCGCGAGCCTCCACGAGGTCGCTGTAATCGACAAACCCGCCGCGGACCTCAATGGTGCACGGGCACGCGCCGACGAACATGTCGCCGACCTCCAGAGAGATAGCCCCGCCCCACGCGGACAGCAAGCGAGGGGCGGAAGCAGAGGATGGGCACGCGGACGGCGCGAGGGTGCGCGGACCGGAGGGCGCGGGCGTGGACGCGGCAGAGAGGCGACGGGGAGTCGAAGGGCGGATGGCAGACATGGGAACGCGACATACAACGCTGAGAACACGGGGCGGGCGATGACAAGCATATGTTGGAAGGACATAGCGTGGGAAGGGGCGAGGGGGGGAGAAGAAGAAGCGGAGATGGCGGAAGAAGGCCCTCGGCAAGAGACGGAGGTGAAGAGGCACAAAAGCGCGGACGGCGCGGGGCGGAGGGTTGGGAGGGGGGCGCGTCGGAAAAACACACACACACAAACAAACAAAACAACCTAGATGCCCCCCGCCTCTCCCCCATCGATATCCCCGCCCCCGCGCCGACCTTCCTGGCACTGCAATCCATCCTGACGGGGATGTCGAAGGACGCAGGCGTCCGCTTCAACAGCGCCTGGAAGACCTTGTCAAACGCGTTCCTGTTCAAGGCGCTGTCCAGTAGGCCATGGCGACTCGTAATCGACCGACAGCACCTCAACGACAATGTGAACAGCCAGTGTAAACTCACTGACGGGTACAAGAGGCACCTGTCTGGCTGGTCGTCAACCAGCCCCGTGCCGAACGGCTGCGACGGCCTCAAGCAACCGATGCCGCCGCCGAGCATCTGGCAATGCGCCACCCAGCGCTTCCGCTTGTTGTGGAACCACTCAGAGCCATTCTTCTGCGGGCCCTCCAGCGTCAATGTAGAAGACAGGTCGGCGATGTTGAGCCACAAGCGGCCGCTGGGGGACGTGGCCTGAAACACCGCCCCTTGGACGTCGATGCGTTGGGAACCAGGGCACGCTGGGGCCAAGCAGAACGTCCCTTCCTGGTGGGCAGCACGGAGCCGATGGACAGGGATGGATTCACGATCACGGGCGACGGCCACGAGATCTGAAATGGTCGCACCACTCCCAGGGCGCTTCTTGGAGCAAACGCCAGCCGACATGTAACTCTGACAGAAACTGCCCTCACTGTCGTCCGCCTCATCCAACGGGACGACCAGCGCAGGCTCCAACGGCTGGTCGGGGTCGGTCCAGATATCCCACTCCTGGGCGGCACGGGCGGTTCGGAGGGGGGGATCTGTAGACGACGCGCAGGGGGCGATGGGGGTGGCTGGCGGGCGCGAAGGGGCAGCTCTTCGATAACTATGGGGATGGAGGGGCGCGTCGTGGAGGGGCAGGGCGAGAAGGGGGGAGAAGGGGCACGGCGAGCGATGCAGAGGAGGGCGGGGAAGAGGCGGGGACATGTTGATTCGCAGAGCGAGAACGTAGCGAATCGACGGCCAAGGAGACATGGTGAAGGTAGCGTGGCGGCGCATCGGAAAGGGAGGGGGAGCGGGGGAAGGTGGGGGCAAAGAAAGAAAGAAGGGATGCCGCGAAGCCATGCGCACGAAAAGGAGCGGGGACATTGCAGCAACAGCGGGGATCGCGTCTCCTTGCCCGAGTCCAGCGTCGCATATTCACCAGTGACCTTGTGAGCCAAGATCTGCGCGGTAACCCCTCGGGCGCGCTCGTCGCGGAGAAGCTCAAACTCCGCTGCGCTGGCGTGTAAGTGCAAGGCCGCCATGGGCCTGAAGCCTCAAAGGGCTCGTGCCAAAATGGCCTGTCGACTGCGCCCTCCGTTGAACGCACCCCCCCCCCCCCCCCCCCGCCGCTATGATGCGAGACCTCGACAGCCGCGAGCTGGGCACTGCCTGAGACATGGGGGATGGTGCTATGCCGCGGGAGGCCAACGAGGGCTATCTCTAGAAGGCAAACGGAGGGGGTGGAGCTCGGACTGAATTGCATCATCCGGGGGGAGGGCGGACATGTGGCGCCAGGCGCTCGGCGATCGGAGGGGGGGGGGCGCAAGTTAAGGCGAGCATGGCTGTTGTAGGGAAGGTGGGTGGGTGCTCGGGGTGACTGCGCGCGGAGGCCTGCCGCGCGCATGTGTAGTGCGCGCGACGCCCCCGCCCCCCCTGTCGCACGCTGGATGGCTGCCAATCCCCAAGACGACCCAACGCAATACATCAATCGACAACCTCGCACCGCGACGCCTAGCCCGCCCCTGCGATCACAGCTCATACACTGACCCCGACCCCGCCGCCCGCACTCCCGCGCGGCGTTGAAACAACCTCCAACGCTCCAGAGGGTAAGGGGGGCAAGGCCGCACGCGGCCTCGATATGGAACCACGCGGCCCGAAGCCGTTGCCAAAATCGCAAACTGCCCGCCGATGCTCGAACGAACCTGCAGCGCGCCGCCAAGCCCTACGACGCAGCAAAAACCGCACCCACCCCTACCCCCCTACCCTCCGAGTCCTGGGGAACACAGGCCCTGTTCATCAAGAAGCGACGGTGGCGAAGCCGCCCGTGGACTGGCCCCGAGACGTCTCGAAAGCCCTCTTCTAGCGACGTGCCCCCTGCATATGTTTAGGTCACCGCGCCCCGAAGACGCGTGCGCTGCCCTCCCCCCTCTGCCACCCATGCGGATGTGCGCAAGTGCCCAGAACAACCCGAAGTGGCATCGTCTCTGGGTGGGCTGGCGCGGGTCCACGAACCCCCACAGAATGCAATGGCCAACCTACGCGGCACTGCACCGCAAACAGCATGGCACGGAGAAGCGAAAACGACCACCGACTTCGGTCACGCCCCCGCGTGCATATGGATGGGCCCTTCGCTCAACTGCGTTTTATATAGTTTTACGGGCGCGCCCCATCGCCCCGAGTCCTCGGCGCGAGGGCGGCGGTGCGCCGCCTAGGCCGAGGTCAGGCCTGACGGCATGACGCAACACTAGCGAGATACAACGCCAAGAACTACACATCCAGCCTCCGCCTGCAATCCTCCCCATCTGCCAACCTGCTCTCCGCGACGAGCTCGATCCTGCCCGACCGCCCATCGGACGCCCCCCTGCCTGCCCTCCTCCCCCACCTGCCCCCCGTCCAACCGAATCAACTCCCCCTCCGCCACCGCCCAAATCAACGGGCGCTGCGCGCGCCATGATCGCTGAACGTCCACGCGTCCAACCGACGGACGAGCCCCGACCCGACCTGGTCGAGCTAAAGCACGGGCAAGCTCTCGGCGCCGACCACGGCCGTCGGACGCGGATTTCCCATGCACCCGTCTGGCCGAAAAAAAATGAGCGGGGCCGAAAACTTCAAACCTCATGAAAACCAAACTACCCGAGGGAGCGCCCGACCCCGAGGCACATCCCGCCATGGCCCCCAGGAGCCCGACGGCGCTCTGGAAGTTTGCAGCCCCTGGTGGAAGAAACACCCTGCCGCGCTTACTCTGGCTCGTGCGCATCAGCCGCAACAGGAGGAGGTGCCGCTGGCTCCGCCAAAGGCTTCACCACGCGGGGGCGCTTGCGGCGGGTGCCGAGCACGGCCTGCTCGTCCACCGCGACGAGCGACTCGATCTTCTTCTGCTTGTTCTGGTCCCTGAAATCCTTGAGCGCCTGGTCAGCGCCCTCGTTCTTCGCGCGCTTCAGGTTCTGAGCGAACAGCTTCGTCAACGGGGCCTTCGCGCCGCTGAGCCACACGGACGCGGCGAACTGGTCATAGTTGTTGTCGATGATCTTGCCTGCAGAGGCCACGCAGCGGTGGGTGGGGGAGCGGGCGGTTTGCGCTTCGTCCAAACGCTCTCACAATCACCCCCCCCCCCCCCCCCTCCCCCCGCATCACCACGACAACGCCCTCCATGCGGCGGCCCCGCCCCCCCCCCCCCCCCCCCATCTCACCGACGACACCTCCCCGCCAACATCGCCCCATGCTGCCAACAGAACGTACCCTGCACTGCACCACACGGTTCATCAAACAACGCATAGGGCGACCAACGATAGTGCGAAATGAGGAACGACCGCCGTTGGAACGGATGAGATCGAAAGAAGAAAAGGCGCCTGCAGGGAAGCGCTCCTTCAACAAGTACTCCTGCTTAGTGATCATGTTAACGACCGTGTCCTGATGTCCGCTGCTTTCAATCGGCAGGCGACGACAGCGGCCGAAGACGGCGAAACGCATGTCACCCCCATCATCCCCATCCTCCCCCCCCTCACCGTATTCCCCCGAACCCTCCTCTTACTCATGCCCACCTGCTTCATCTTCACCCCTCCCCCTCCTCATCGGCATCCCCATCCTCCTTCATCCTCGCGCTCCTCTTCCTGCTGCTGCTGCTGCGCGTTATCCCGCTCCTCGCCCCCCTCCCTCGCGCGCTCCGCCCTCCTCCTCCGCCGATCGCCGCTTGGTCGCCCACGCCCGCGCCTCTCTCCTCCGCTGCCGATGCGACCCCCCCCCCCCCCCCCCATCCACCATCCGCTGGCACGCGCTGGCCCGCGCCGAGAAGCGACGGCAGAGCGCGAGCAACATATGGCCCAGAGTCGGCCACGAACAGAACAAACCGAAACTGGAGGAGCCGCCTCGGCCCGCAGCCTCCGCCGAACAAAAAAAACTACACTGGTCAAGCATCCGACCGCGCGCATCTGGAGCTCCAAACGGGGGGCGCGATCCACGCGAGAAGTCCGCTGAAACAGCGCGGCGCCCGCGAGAGAACCACGCAGCTGACGTCGTCGGCGGGGCTCCAATCTAGAAGGGAAGGGGGGGGCGGTGGTCAGATCCGAGCGGGGGGTGCGCCAAACGCATGCCACCCGCGCGTGACCGCCCCGTGATTGAGTCGTCAGTGGACCCACTTACGGTGCCTAGATCTGCACGAAAAGCGCGCCGACATGGCAAGGCGCCCGCGAGGGCCCCCTGCCAGTCCGCGCGCGCGGTGCCCCGGCGGCGCGGCGACCCTGAAAACCCCCCACCGCGGCCCGATACCGCGCGCGGTCTGCTCACTGAGCCGTCGACGGGCGCCTTTACGCGGCAGCCGTCCACGCGAGGGGCCTCGCCGAAACGGCGCGGCGCGCGCGCGCGGGCCGACGTGGCCCAGTCCCCCCTGGGGCACCCGACAGGGGCACTGTCCTCGGGAGGGGTTGCCGACGCTGGTGGCCCCGACGATGACGATGGTAAAGGTGGTGACGGCCGCTGCGACGACGACCGCGACGACGCCGACGTGGCCGACACGTGCGACGACGATGGCAAGAGCAACGGCAACATTGGCGCGCAGGGCGGCGGCGAGCGAGGCGCAAGAGGGCGAACAAAACGGGCGGGGCGGACTCGCACTTGCAAAAAGAGGGCCAGTGAAAAATACGCGGCGCGAATCCCAAGGGCCCTGACCGCCGCTGCCACCCGCCGAGCCAGCCGCAGCCGTCGCTCTCTTGACGTCCCACACGGAGTGCGGCGGGGCGAAGACTAGCTTGTCGTCTTTGATGGCGCCCTTGAAGAACCCGCCGCAAGCATCCAGAAGACCTCGGTCTCTGATCAGCTTGCGCAAAAATGTGGCAAGCGTGTCCTTGTGTAAGAGGTCCCCGCTGATCGCGAATGTCGGGGGGAGTCCTGCGTTCGGCGGGTGGCGACCAGCGTGGAGGGAGGAGGGGGTGTAGCGCCCACCATGGAATCAAAAGCTGGCAACTTCTCATTCACCTTCTCCTGCTCCTCCTCCCCATCGCCTCTCGCCCGTTGCCGCCACCCCCCCTCCACTGCGCGCCCTCCTCCTTGGGCCTCCCCGCCCCCACCCCCACCCCCAACTTACGTCCGACTCCTGCCCCCCCCGTGCAACGCCGCCCTTTCACCCCAATCCTCGCGGCCTGTCCGCCATCCCCCATCCGACGTGCCACGGGCCCCCTGCTGCCCCGCCGCGTGAGCGGTGGCGTTTCGGCGCTGGCCCCCGCCGCAGTCCCGTGAGGAAGGTGGTCGCCTGCTTCAAGAGAACCGAGCCCTTTCCACACACCACCTCGCTGGCGTTCGGCGGGGCGGGCACAGTGGAGGTGCCGACGATCAAAGTCCACAGCCAAGCGGTGGGCACGTCGCCGATCGCCTTCACCTTATCCGATGAAAAAGTGGGCTCTTCGGAAAGAGCCTTCGCCTGAGCAGCCACTTTTTTACTCTTGACGTGGGGGCTGTCAATGTCCGTCACGGGCTTGGCAGCGATCACCTCCAGCAGCGCCGTCTTCTCTGGCACCTCGCGCGCCGCGGTCGGGAAAGGGGTCAGAGAAGGGCGCCCGCCGCGTCGAACGCATCGTCGGCGTCGCCTTCGCCCTCGTCGTCGCCGAAGCGCTGACGTCGTCGCCGCATCTCAGTCGCACCCGCGGGGGCGGTTATTAAACGCAACCACCGCACCGCACTAAAGGACCCCAAGGCACCATGCCAAGGCACCATCCTAAGGCACCATGGTAAGGCACCACACTAAGGCACCATCTTATAAGGCGCCATACTAAGGCACCAAACCTAAGCACCACACTAAAGCACCACACTAAAACGCCGCGCTAAAACACCATACAGAGGGAG